GGGGGGGGGGGTGTAATAATGAGAATCATTGTTTAAATATTTGGAATCTGGTATAACTTTGGGGAAAATGACATTATGAACAAATAAAAGTAATGCCATAATGTAAAAGCTGACTGTTTGGCTTCCTTGTATTAAGTGTAAAAGAAAATTCTAGAAGGTAATGTTCACCATTCTCCTTTCTAGTCTCAGCTGTTTCAGTTTGGGGAATGACAGATAGCTCAATCTTGGACCAGTGGAAAGCAAGTCTCACTGTGGAGGACTTCCTTGAGAAGTATGTGTCCTTAACCTCAAATTTCCCTTGTACATCTAGAAGATAAACTGTAAGTCCTCCAGACAACTATAGAGAGAAAATCCTTTCCTTTATATCCTCATAGATTTTCTTCTTTTATCGGAAGAAAAAAGCCTTAATCTGACCACAGAGGAGAGGTTAATAGATGTGTTTTACATCCTCTTTTTATCTTTCCCTCATTTATTATATATTAATTGTTCTCTATGCATTTTGTGTTACAAAGACATGCAGAAATAAAGCAAATATGTTATTATGCTTTTATGCAGTAAGTACACTTTTTGTAGAAAGTGTCTATAGAAAGTCCTTTGTATTAAAATAGGTCTTCTCCCCTGTAGTATAAATGCAGATGTAAGGCTGCTTTCTAACATACCTTGTCAGAATGTTATTTATTATTAGTTCAGTCATTCATCAAATATTTACTGGATCCCATCCTGTGTGCTGGATACAGGATACAAAAATGAATAAGACAACTCTACTCACAAAGAACACAAGAAAATATGAAATAGAGATTTATAAATACATAATTCCAATACAGAGTGGGAAGTACAATGGCAGACATAGGAACGCAGAGTATAATGTGAGGAAGAACATCTAACCTAGTCAACATTATTAATGTAGATGCAAATTAGAGATTTCAGTGCAAATGTAAACAATTTACCCTGTTGCTTCACTTCATGCAAAGAATGCTATCAGACCCAGGAAGGATTTAGTTATTATTCACATTTTCAGGTTTTAGTAATTTAAGTTTTCCTTTGTTGCACTTGAAAGAAAGAACCAGTTTAAATGCAGAGAAGCCCAATGTACCATTTCTATCATTTAAGAATTTAAAGGCCAGATTGGGAAGATAATATATAAACATAGAAAAAATTAAGAAGATAAGAATTAAATGATTATAAAAGATGACCATCATAAGATCACAAGGCATAAGACCAAGACAAAGTATCTATTACATGACTGAACTCCTAAGCAGTGAGGAAGCGGACAGGTATAGTGCAAAGGGCTTTGCATTATGAATTAAAAGATGTGGATTTCAAGTCTTGCTTTGAGAAGTCAAATACTACTTGACAAGTCATTTGATCTGACTCTCACTTTCTTTGTCAGTAAAATGATTATGGATCAGTGCTTCTCAAACTTTAATGTACATATGAATTTTTCTCTGCATCTATTGGAATTTGGTATTTTTTCTACAGTGAATATATGCTATTTGTTAATCAAGATGTTTTAACATAGGACATACATAAAATCAGTAATTTTATAATGTCATAGGAAAATAATTACAGGAATGGTGACTCCAATTAACTGTGAATTTGAAGGAATTGTTCCAAGTTCAAACCCAGATTCCCAAATTGAAGTTGAGGAAGCCAGCTTACATACCTATAAGGACTACAGTGAAGTCTTTACCCCTATTAGCTGTGTAGAAAAATGTCCAGCATTTCAAGCACAGGACCAAGGTAAAACGTTGATTTCCATTGTTATAAAACATTTCTTACTAATATACAGATTTATCCTGGTGAATTTGTTTAGATTTATTTTTTTATTTTATTAAAGATTTCTACCTGCAGAATTATAATTCTAAGCTTTGTCTCATTAGGGAAATATTTTCTCTTTCATATTAATCCCCTTATTGTAAGTTAGGTTTTTGGAGGTGAAGGATGTTGGGCCTCAAAATAGCCTGAGAGATTTGATTACAGTGTGCTCACAGCATGTTGCTGTAATAATATTAGCACCTGAGTACAGATCTGATGACACAGCAATTTGGTGTAACACTAAATTAGTAGATTATTAAGTGATGCTTATTTTTATTTTCCAAAATATCCTGAAGATTTTCAATGTCATCACATATGTGAAATCATAATTCAAAGTAGAGATAGAATAATTTCAGTATTAGGTCAGGAAATTTGCCCAGTTTTTACAAATTTACCAGAAATAATAATTAAAAGTATATTTTATCCAAAATATATCCCAAATCTTTCTTACTACTAAAGAGTGCTGAATTCTTCCAACCTTATAAAAACGCTTTTTTGTATAACAGCCCATTCCCTTTTTAAATGAAAAAACTTAAGGCTTTGTTATATAATTGCTATTATCATTTAAGATATGCTATAGTTTGAGCATGCTGTTTTTATGTAGATACATAAATTGTGTATAAATTTTTAGTGTTGGCAAACAGGTATGTAATGACATATAGAGAGTTAAGTCTCTCTTATAGTTTCAGAAGAGAGAGCGATTGCATTAAAGACTAAACTTCAGAGCATGATATAGTAGGAAGACCCTGAATTTGGAGTCAAAAGATTTGATCATAGTCCAAATCTACCCTTAAAAAGTGGTACAAGTTTGGGACAGTTATTAAAAATTTCATGGTTTAAAATTTTCTTCTATAATTTCTTTATTTGAATTTATTCTTCTAATTTCTTATAAAAAATTTGGCAGATCATATAATATATATGTACATGTAAAAAGATGGTTTGCAAAAAATAACAGGCTACCCAAAGCTATTATTATTATTATTATTTTTAAAATATATCTTTATTGATTCCAGAGAGAGGAAGGGAGAGGGAGAGAGATAGAAACATCAATGATGAGAGAGTCATTGATTAGCTGCCTCCTGCATGCCCCTGACGGGGGATCGAGCCGGAAACCCCGGGCATGTGCCCTGACCGGGAATTGAACTGCGATCTCCTGGATCCTAGGCCGATGCTCAACCGCTGAACCTCGCCCGACCAGGCTTTAGCTGTTATTATTAATGTGGCAAACTAGAAGCTACCGGTGGGAAATTTCATAATGTCTATTGTCCGCTAGAATCAGAATCTTCTTTATGATTCACTGAATGAAAATATGCTTGAGTTTCCTAAAGTAACAGACTCATACTTACAGAGAACAAACTGATAATTACCAGATGGGAGGGGGTTTGGGAGAGAAGGTGGAAAAAGTGAAGGGATTAAGTACAAATTGGCAGTTACAAAATAGTCACAGGGATGTAAAGTACAGCATATCCCTATATTCCCATCGAGTCAATAATATTTTATTAACTATGTATGGTGCCAGGTCAGTACTAGACTTATGGTGGGGGAGGATTACTTTGTAAGTTACATAAATGTCTAACCACTATGCTGTTCACATGAAATTAATATAGTATTGAATGTTAACTGTAATTGAAAAATAAACAAATATTTTTAAAAATACATATGAATTATTTTTATCCTATTTTTCCTTAGGGGTCCTATTTCATTAGATTTCCTTCTTTTTAAGGCTGAACAATATTCCCGTGTGTGTGTGTATCACATTTTCTTTATCCATATCTGTCAACAGACACTTAGGTTGTTCCCATACCTTGGCCATTATGAATGCTACAGTGAACATGGGAGTACAGATATCTCTCTGAGATAGTGATTTCATTGGCCATCTGTTTCTTCCTTTACAACATTTATATCTTTTTTCGTCTCACTGTGCTTACTGGGACTTCCAGTACATTGTTCAACAGAAGCAGTGATAGTTCCATCCTTGTCTTGTTTCTGACAGTAAAGGAAATCTTTTAACATTTTGCCATGAAAAATGACGTAAATATCATTTCATTGTTTATGTCATTCTCAGTGGTGAAATGTTAGAGAATTTACTTTATTGGGTTGAAGAAGCTTCCTTTTGTTCTGAGTTTGCTAAGAGCTTTTTACCATGAATGAGGATTGAATTTTACTAATGTTTTTCTACAACTATTAAGATATTTACATCTTAAATATATAGAATGTCTCTTTACTAAAAACTTATAGTCCTATAATCTAAACATAAATTGTTTTACTATTGTGATCATGCTGTATATGCATTACATTATTTTTAAATGTTAACATTATCTTGGGAATATTTCATCATATACTTAAGTTGACTTCAAAAGCATGGTTTTTGATGACTGCAGTTTTTAATCTTACTTATGATTTTTACATTTGACAACACTAATGTCGTTAATTTCAAATGTGTACATAAATGTATGTTTGCATTTTCAATGACTTCCTTAAAGTGGATCCCTAGAAATGGAATTACTTGGTATATTTTTTAGCTATATGTTCACTAGCATGGTGTGAGAATACCTTGTTCACACCAACCTGATCGTCACTGGGTATATTACTACTTATGTTGTAGTACAATATACAATGTGGTGGGCAAAAAAATGCAATATTTTTTCTTGCACTTTAAAAATTACTGGTGTTTAGTGGCCCAGACTTACTTCATAATCAAATTTCCAGGTTCCAAAACAGACCTCTTGAGAAATTTAATGTAACTGGGACTTTTTAGAATTTTTAATTCTAAAGAATTGCTACTCTTTTTAGCCAGGAAAGAGTTTATCTTGTCTTTAAGTTTTTAAAAAATTATCCTCATTGAAGCTTTCTGGTTCCTCCATATTCTTTCTGCACATTTTTGTTATGTTTTTCCTTAATATTTGTAGCCATTATGAATGAGTTTTTCCATTAGTTTTTTTTGCTAGGTTTTTATATGTATTGATTTTATAATTTTTACCAGCACTTAGTGAACACCTTTATTTGTTTTCAGTTAGTTATCTTGGGTTTTTTAGGTAGACAAAAGTATTTCTACAAAGAATAAACTTATCTTCTTTCCATAGTTAACTAGCAAGTTTTTCCCTCCTTATGACAGTTTAAACACTCTTCTCCAATAGAGGAAAACAGTCTCCTCATATTTGTGTTGGTACATATAATAGAGTTGCAGCAATAATGCTGTATAGCCATAAGAATATAAGGAAGTAGCACCCTTGGTTAAAAACAACAAAAAACTACCTTTGTATAGTTATAATGAACATTAATTGTTGTGTTATGCTGCCATCTAGTGGTTTAATCTAAAAAGGGTGGTTGAAAATGTCCTGGAGGACTCCCAGAAACACCAGGATGAGCCTGTAGGAAGGGAAGATGGCTAGACGGTCTGTGTTTGAAAGTAGAATGTGAAAATGGGGATATAAACAAATGCTATTTGGATATTTACTATTAATATAGCTTCATTAAAATTTACATAATGGATGTGCAAATGAACCACCTTTAAATTTTCTCAGCTATGCCCTGCCTAGACATGGAACTGATGGCTAGTTTTCTTGGTGTGCAATTGGAAGCTCTGGGCCACAAGACTGTCAGGAACTTAACAGATAAACTATCTCTTAGGAAGCTGATTTATATAACACCTTCTCTTTTGACACTTCAGTTTTGCAGCAGTCAAAGTGATGGTCCCTGGCTGCTTTATGTTACATATTTATTACGTACCTGGTTACCAGTGATGTAGGGAGACATCACTCCATGCTGTCCCTCCTCATGCCATTCTAATGTTACTTCACTGAAACACCACTGCCCAGAACAAGAGCACATTGCTCCCCTTCGAGGTACCTTTTACTTTTGGGAGCTTGGCTTTCTGAGTAGTTCCTCATTGGAGCTTACATTTTCCTTTTTCCACTCAAGAGCTTTTTGAAGAATGGGGCCAGGTTTTTTATTTCCTCCCTTAGTTCAGAAACTGTTAAAGCCCTGACACAATTAGCAAAGATTCTAAAGTAACCCAAACGTGGTAGGATGGGGACAGAGCAGAAATTTATCCCAGCAATTAACTGTTAGCAGTAGTGTTTCCTAATATAGAAGGTATATCACACTTATCAAGTAGATACTTTGCTATATACCTTTCATGATATCTAACTTTTTTTTTAATCCTCACCTGAGGACATTTTTTCCATTGCTTTTCAGAGAGAGTAGAAGGGGAAGAGAGGGACGGGAGGGAGAGAAACATTGATGTGAGAGAGACACATCAATTGGTTGCGTCCTACACGTGCCCCAACTGGGGCCGGGGATCAAGCCTGCAACATAGGTGCATGCCCTTGGCCAGAATCGAACCTGGGACTCTTCGGTCCAAGGGCCAACACTGTAATCATTAAACCAAACTGGCTAGGGCCATGGTATCTAATTTTATAGCAACATGTTTGAACAACTTTAGAGTGCTAGAACTAATGTTGGTCTCACCTGTAGGCTTTGCAGACCATCTCCATTTTCTGCATGTCAGAGTCTTAGGATGAAATGGAGACCTTAAGAAGCAAAACGATGCAGAGAAGAAAAAACTGCAGTCATCAAATGTCAAGTGCTTCTATTTCTTTACAATTTTGTTTAGGCTGCCCCTGGCTATTTTGAAGCATAAGGCCACAAGAGATTTTTCTCCACTAATTAAACTAATTTTTGTTGAAAAATTATGAGCCATTATAACTATTTTAGGATATTTGGTTACTACTCAGTGTACTAAATAATATCAAAATGTATTGAGCTTTTACTTGTTTACCAGTACTATGCTACATGCTTTATATGCACAGTACAATGAACAACTAAAGAATTAAATATGTGTTTGAAAACCCCAACTTTATCTAATGACTTACTACAGTAACTACCTAGATCCTTTGATAATGTTCAGGTTTTTTCTTATTCTTTTATATGTCTTATTTCTTTTCAGATTTGCTTATTGATGCTGAAGAATTAATTTTCACAAATAATTTGATGGCCTATAAAAGTCATCTACCAACCGTGCATTCTCTGTTGAGTAGGCTAAAACCGTTTTCGATAAAGGACCCCCTTTTAGATTTCAAAGAACAGGTCTTCAGAGAAGCTGATTTTTTCAGGTACTTAACTGCCCAATGTTGTAAATATTTTCCAAGAGGAGAAAATATTTTTTGTATGCTCACAAATTTACATGTTACCAGTAATAATATTTTATCATTGCTCCACCTCAACTCTAATTTTAATCACTCTGTATCTTTATTGGCTACATTTTAGTATATATAACTTGCTATTAGTAAAGACTAATTTATTATTTTAATTTTTTGTTAAGGGAATGCTTTCCTTTTCAAGGAGATTTTAAAGATCTTATGAAAGAAGATTCTTACATGGATAAAGAGAACTTTTGTCAGGAGAAGCTAGAAGATACAGTAAGTTTAAATGAAGCTATAGTACTTGCTTTCAGTAATATTTTTATAGAAGTAGTAAAGCACACTTTAAAAGAATTTAGTAATATACCTTGACCATCTACTATTATCAAGTTAAAAAGACTTGATAATGGGTTGAACGCATTGGGAAGAAATCAAATTTACTTCTAAGACAGTAGTTCTTAACCTTGGCAACACATTGAAATTACTTGGGGAATTTTAATAAAATACTGAAGCCTGGGTCCTACCCAGATACATTCTGATTTCATTGCTCTGGTGTGCAGCCCAGTTATCAGGAATTTTAAAACCTCTCCTAATGATTTTAATCATTAAGCCTCGTATGGGACATTAAGTGATTATTTTCTAATTTAAAAATTGGAGACTAGTCCCTGGCCAGGTGACTCAGTTGGTTGGAGCGTAGTTCCGTACGCCAAAAGGTTGCAGGTTCAATTCCCAGCCAGGGCACATACCTAGGTTGGGAGTTTGGTCCCTGGTCGGGCACTTACAGTAAGCAACCCACTGATGTTTCTTTCTCTCTCTTCCTCTCTCTCTCAAAATCAATAAAAACATACCCTCCAGTGAGGATTTTGTTGTTGTTGTTAATCTTCACCCGAGGATATATTTTTTCCATTGATTTTTTAGAGAGGGAGGGAGGGAAGGAGGGAGGGAGGGAGG